GGAAATATGATGGTTGTTGTATCTTTTTGGCTCGGTTTTCAACAATGTAAGATCCATTGGATCGATTTGTTGCATTTGCCGCATTTGGGTCCATTATTAATCAAGTTTAAACATGTATGAGCACATTTTAGGCCTAATTAGTAATTGGAAAAGGCTCTAAGATTACTTGGTCTCAAATATGAGTTTTGACTTACTTTATAATGCATTTTGTAGTCCATAAACACTTCAACTTTGATCTAACATGAAGAACGGATTTTTGTAACATCATCGCACTTCCTTTCGGGACAAGAGGCCAAAAGTAGGTGTCTACATATATATAAACATACATATGTATAATAACATATATATATATATATATATAAACACAGACACACACACACACATATAAGCAAGTTTGGTGGATTTGGTAGGGAACTCACCTTGTGACTTTGAGGTCACAAATTCGAGCCCTACCAACTACTAAATGCTTGGGAATGACAACATTTTTGAATTATCTCCTTAAATGGCAACATTTTTCATTTGTTGTCTTTGTAAAATTGTTGCCTTATGTATCATTTTACATTGGCTTTCAAAATTGTTGCCTTTGAATAAAAATATGTTACCTTATGAATAGACAACGGGGGCATATATTACGCCTCATATGTGTTTCCTTAGCTACAAGGCAACACTATTTTTATATTAGGCAATGGTTTTGCACTATTACCTTTGCCTTATTTTGTTGTAGTGTTTTTTGACTCGAGTCGTGCACCATGTCATTTATGATCGTATACTAGGTTCATGCACCTATTTTTTCCATCACAAAAATGAGTGGAGTTTGTCTTACCTATTTTCATATGTCTATCTCTCCCTCTTCCTTTCTTGATTTTGATCAGTGCGTCAAACCATTCAGTGAATTTATTTTATTTCACTGTACTTGGTCAAGGAGCAGAGGTAGATCGGTACAGTTCGAGTCATTACTGCATCAATCTCTTAGATCTAAGAGGTGTTCAAAGAAAACTTCGCCATCTCCACATTACTTATCACCTTCAAACTACTTTCAGTTCGTTCCAATGGCCACTAAGGAATACATTGAGAACATCAACAAATCCATCGAGGCGTTGTCGACCATGATGCAAACCTTTACCACTAGGGTCACTACCATAGAACAAAACAAGGTCATTGTTGCTATCCTTGAAAAATTGATAGAACAGATGAGCAAGATTTTTGAGGATATCACTTATATGGAACAGCCTCCTACTCCCTTGGATATGAAGGACAAGCTCCCTCAAAAGTTCTCCACTGCTGATATTCCAAAGTTCAAGCCTACTGACAATCCAATATTCCATTTGATAGCATTCTCTACAACCATGGCTCTTAAAAGATTGGACGTAACACTCTATCCTACGGTGTTCCTGCTCTCCTTAGAGCATGCTTGACCACAATGGTTTTATTCTCTAGATACCAAGCATACTACAACTTGGCAAAAATGTCACCGACGGTTTCATGAATTGTTATAAGTGTAACATTCAAACCAAAACGTCTGAACTTGAACTCTTCGTTCTCAAATAGAAAGAGAATGAAGGCTTCACCGCTTATTTGAACAAGTGGAGGAAAACGGATGCTTTCTTGGTAAATTTCCCCAAAGAAAGAGAGATGGTTCGCCTCTTCATCTAGAAACTAACTTACAAGTACAAGCAACACCTTAGGTTCTTGCCTTTGAACACTTTTGAAGCTGTATATGACATTGGCATCAATATCGAGGATGAGCTAATAAATATTGTTGGTAGTAACAATAATAGCACTTGGAAAAAAAATAAGAACGACCTTCCTTCTTCTTTGTCTTCTAAGCACGAAAATACTACCAACAATATAAGCCAAGTCGATCTCAATGAAATGTTAGCTCTTGATGCTCCATTGCCCAAGAAAAGGAGAACTTACACTCCTTTAGGACTGACTTATGATGGGCCTTTGATCTTCTTTACGGTCAAGGCTTGATCACACCTATTGGACCATTTCCAGAGCCAAAACCTGAAACAAAAGAGTGCTAAGTGGAATCCCAATGCCCACTGCAAGTTCCATCAAGGAGGAGGTCATACTACCAAGCAATGTTGGAATTTGAAGGACGTTATTCAAGATCTTGTTGATGCAAACAAACTTCCTATCCCTCCAAGCGGCAAGAAGTAATGAAGACAAGGCGCACGGTGGCTCAATCGTGCAAGATTTCATGATTCTTTATTTCCATTCACCTTTTATGTCTATCATAGGTTTTTCTTCGTAGACTCTATTGTGTTTATGTGTTTTTTTATTCACCATTCCCATCAATAAAATGAGCATATTTCCTTTACATCTCGATCATAGATTTTTTCATTCATTAAAAAAACTAATTGTCGAACAAACACAAGGTACATCAATGACTTGAGGCATCTTTGCAACTCATTCACTCCTTATTAACCATTCAATCACATATCCATTCATTCGTCAACCACTTTGAGCCTCGTCTAACTATTGGACTTATTTATTCAGCTCACATTCACTTAACTTTGGGATGGGAAGGTGTGAAATTTGTGTAACATTCAGAAAGCAAGTTCAAATGAAAAAAAATAAGAATAAGTAAATAAAAAATAATGTCTAAAGACAAGTGTTCCAATGTCTAGGATACGAACACGTCTCGAATTGCGTCTCGAATTGAGTGCTTGGTACCGTGCCTGAAAAACATGAATGCTAAGTGAGTGATGGACCGTATGATCCGAGATTTCCTACGTACATTGATTCAAAAGAATGAAAAAAAAAAGAAATTAAAGGCAAAACATGTGAAAAATTTGATTTCACTTTACACATTTTGACCAATGTCAACAGATGTTGTTTGAGCACTTTAACTGTCAACTTGATTTGTTTGTAGTACGGGGCCTTATCGGCTTATTCCATACAATGAGTGTTTAGTAGTATGGAGGAGATGGGGCCTTGTGACTTGTTCCATCTGAGCCTAATTAAACCCTAGAAACGACTCTCTCTATATAGAGAGTCGTATAGTAGTTAACAAGATAATAATCAAATATTCTACGAGATCTTGAAGATAAATATCTTATTGATATTATCTTCTTATTTACATATATCTTGACACCTAATAATTAACAAAATTTCGGTGTCAACAGTGGTTAAATACAAAAAATTGATATAAGGAGGTTCAAAATAATTTGGTGGTTTTTTAAAGGTGGTTATTTTAAAATTACCCTTTAATTTATGGAAAATATGATTCTAATAATCCAACATTTGCACGGTCTTTTTTCTTTTTTATTAATTCAACCTTTTGATTATTCACTAATAATCCAAGCTTTATACCCCATTCTATTCTATAAGGCCAAACCGATTACTTACCTCTTATAGCAAGTGACCTTGCCATGTGTCACACTATTAGGAGTGAGCAAAAATTTAGGGTACATGACCTGGAACCGGAACCACAGGTTCTAGAACAGGTTCCGGTTCCGGGTAATAAAAATGGGAACCTGTTGCAACATGTTCCAGTTCCGTGTATTAAAATTTTGGACCCGGAACCTATAGGCTACCCTGTTAATATAGGTTCTCTATATGGTACATGAAACCGGAACCAGTCAATTAAACCCAAGTATAAGAGCCCTATATCAAAATTGTATAAAAGTCGTCACCTAACTCTCCCTCCTCTTATTCATTTTTCATCTTACTCTTAAAGGTTTAATTAATGATATCAATATAAGTATTTGTAATTTTGTATTAGATATTCTAGACAATCAAGTAACTATTAAGCTTACTTTGAAAGATATGGTACCTTGTTCTGAAATCGGAACCTGCAGATTTCGTTTCCGATACCTAATTTTTAAGAACCTGTTGAACAGGTTCCGGTTCCGGTTTTTGGGAACATGTTTTAACAGGTTCCGATTCTGAAGATCGAGATTTTTGCAGGGTACCCTACTAAGCTCACCCCTATACACTATAATTCGTCCAAATATTTAAAATTATTTTTAATTAATAAAAAAAATTATTTTTTCCCTTTCCTCCCACCTGGCCTCCTTCCTTCCCTTAGACTTCACCTTTAATTTATCAATGGCTGCCCTGTTCCCCTCCACCTCCATCCTCCCCTTCCCTCCCTTTTTTCAGCAGCCCCTCCTCCCTCTTCCCTCCCTTTTATCCGGCAGCCTCCCTCCTCCCCATTCCCTAACAGCCTTCTTAACCTCCACCACCTCAAATCACTAACCTTCACCCACACAACTCCACCAATAACTACCAACACACGCACCACAACCTACAACGCCAGCAACCACAAATCCCAAAAACTATGAGACGTATATCGATTTTTCGACCCGACCGGTCGTCCCCAATCTTTTCTAACCTCCCTTCCCATTCCACTCCATTAGATCGATTTTATGACCACCCTCCCTCTTCTTGAATCCCCAACCCAAAAACCCCAATTAACTCGATACCCCAACCCATGACCCAGATAATTAAACCACCAATCGGATCTATAACCCAAAAATTCCCACCTTCTTGAAATTGAGAACTCTCGCACCGTAAAATCCCTTGAAATTGAGAAATCTGGCATCGCAAAACCCACCACCTCTTGAAACCCAAAAAATAAGAGGGGGTGGCTGCCGGCATTCCGTTGGGGGTAAGAGGGTTGGCATGGGAACTTTTTTATTTTTTTAATCTATTTATTTTTTAAAAAAAAAATTGTGAAAGAAAAAAATATTTTAAAAAAATTACAGGATGAAAAGTTTACCGATCATCTTGGCTTAATAAAATAAAACACCCCCAAAGCTTGGATTATTAGTGATTGTTCAAAAGGTTGGGTTAATAAATAAATAAAAAATAATAAAAAAAACGGGACAAAAGTTGAATTATTAGAATCAAATTTTCCTAAATGTAAAGGGAAACTAATAAAAATACATTAAAAAGACAAATTTACATGAGATCTTAAAAAAAAAAAGTAATAAAAGTACATTAAAAAAAACAAAATTTGCATGGGGAAACTAATTTTGCACAAATATTATTGTAAATTGAAGGGTATTTTAAAACAAATTAGATGAACATTTTGGGACAAAAATTATGCCAAAAGGATTAATCTTTTAAATACAGATGGGGTATATATTTAAGGTAATACTAATGCATTGACACTTGTGCCATATTTGATTTATCAAATTATTTAGAAACAGATGAAATAATAAATTAATAGTGATACTGAACGAAACCTAACTACTGCCAAAGAGAACAATCAATAAATTTTAAGGCTATATTATAAGGTTAATTAAGGATTAAATCACTAACATATCTCTCTCTACTTTATCCTTAGTTGGCTCATAATTGATATTTGTTTTGTTAGATAATCGAAAATAGCTTACTCAGATCTGCATCAGCCTAATCCAAATGTCATTAATGTTACCAAAATAAACATCACACTATATGAGTCCCAGGAACACTTCCACATTCAAGCATCACCAACTTTAACTTTGGTCCACAATTCTCCCCCTCCAGGTGAATCACATAAAAACTTTATTTTTTCTTTAATGATTTTGAATAAATATTTCACCATATATTTCTTTTCGTTTAATTTTTTTACATGTGATATAAATATTTCTACTTCAATTTCATAAGAAAACGAAAGTCTTCATCTCTTTTTCTCTCTCTCAATCATTAAAATAAGTTTTGAATTTTCCTTTCCATATTGATGAACCAGAAGCAATTGTTTGTTTTACGGGTATCTAATACTTGTATTACTTGTTGAAATCCACATATTTAATAAGATATTTTCAATTCCACTAATCATGGGTCCATATTTTCACTATAAACTTCACACCATAAACAAACATAATCCTTCCAAAGGGAGTTTAATAAAAGGTACACCCTTTCAATCTTTGTGTTTTATATTAATAAATCAATAATATTATTATTGTGTCAATCTTCTTAATTTTTCAGTTGATTAAGTTAGGAGTAGTTATTTTTTTGTTGATTGAACAACTCTTTAACATTTTTTTTTTTTGGTAAACAACAATTAGAGATTTTATGGTTGGTTCATGTAACTTACCCCATTTAATTTATTGGTATTAATGCATTGAAATTGCGTTGTTGTACTATGTAACAGAATTTGGTGGTAAGATATTGCTTTGTTAAGTTGCCTGATGGGATTGGATTGTTGCACCATTGTAAGAAAAGAAGGGATAGGGTTATGGAATCACAATTGGAACTAGTAATTAAACAATCTGTTGATGCCCATTACTCAAATTGGGTTTATGAAGCTTTAGATGAATTGCCCTGTAATTTTACTTTAACTGATCCTTGTATTTCTGGGAACCCTATTGTGTTTGCAAGCTGGGGGTTTTTAGAGATGTTTGGATATTCTAGAGATGAGGTGATTGGGAGAAATGGGAGAATGTTTCAAGGGAAAGGGACTAATAGGGGGACAGTGATGGAAATTCGAGAGGCGATTCGAGAAGAACGAGCAATTCAAGTTAGTTTGTTGAATTATCATAAAAATGGGACACCCTTTTGGATTTTGTTTTGTATGAGTCCAGTTTTTAGTGGGGAGGATGGAAGGGTAATCCATTTTGTTGCTGTTCAAGTCCCAATTTCGAGGAAGTCATTGCGTTCGGGGAGTGGACATGGTAGGAGTGATTTTTGCTTATGTGAAGATGGGGTTAAGTCACGTGAATTTTTGCTCGGGTCTTGTAGGAGAGAGGTGTGCTCGGATTCTGTGTCTGAATTGAGTCATAGCGCCACATTTGATTCATTTTTTGACTTGGATGTAGGTAAGAAATTGCCACCAAAGATATCCTTATTGCTTTGTTTTGCTTGTTTGATTGAATCATTTAATTCAGCTCAAGTCTGCTTGTATAGGAGCTTATTCATTGGTAAGATTTTTAACCGCATTAAGTGATTACAACGGTGGAATGCTTAAAGCTTGTGCTTGTTTGGTCAGTTCTTATTGTGTGCATATGACATTAGAATGTGTATGTCACTATGGTGCTTTGGCAGCTTTTATATCTTTTTACATTGTGCTAACTAAATGCATATCATATTCTCAGTATTTTGAAGCATTACAATATTTTGATTTGGACTGGGACGTGGAAATTAGTATAGCTTCTAAGAGTTGCTTTGCCGTGATTCTGTCATCTTTATCTCAATTTTGCATTTTTGGAAGCTTCTCTTTGATAGCCATGATGTGGGTAAATTGAACAATGTTTGCTCTACTATTTGACCTTTATAAACTACAAAGTAGTCCCTAAGCTTATGAGCTAGCGAGCTCAGCATTGTTATTTTTCTTTATGATGTTCATATTCATTTTATCTGAAACAACCTTGATTTAATTTCTGTCTGCATCAAACATTCGTTGTGCTGTATTTAATTTGGTTCATACATGGCTTGATTGGCTTCTAAATTCTAAGGTGTTATTGTTATATTGTGCTTGACAGGAATAGAGGTTGAGGAATTTTGTGAAGCAAGTGAGCTTGATAAGCAAAAAGCTACTACGTCTATTAGCAATATTTTGTCTGTGCTAACTCAGTACAGTGCATTACGGGGCAAATCTATTTCTGAGAAGAGCTGCAGTGTGGAGGGGAAGAACATTTTAAATTCTGCCTTACTAACATCTCTTGGTAGAATCAAATAAAGCTTTGTATTGTGAGTTGTTAAGATTTTTATTTGTTGCCACTCGTTATGGATCAATTTTTTGAATAGGGTTTATATCTGATTAAACTTTTTCATTGGCTTTTAGAATTGATCCGCTTTTACCGAGCATGCCCATTATTTATGCAAGTGAAGCATTCTTGAAACTAACTAGTGGGTTATGATTCCCTATTACTCTCAAGTTTTCTAAAAACTTTGGATTTTTCTGTTATCGTGTCCATATTTTAATATCTAGTCTAAATGTCAGACAATGAGCAAGACTCGAAGCAAAACACTTTAATCTGTAGAGTTCTCTCTTCCTGCTCTGAATCACATTTGAATCACATATGGTGGCTCTTGGTTAAGGTTAATCTGCCCTTTATGCTTTTATTTTGTTAGTTCTAGTTGGGAGTTCAAATGGTCTTCCCTTGAAAATTCAAACTACTGAGATAAGAGGGAACTGGCGGAAAATTCTGCATAAGCGTAGATTTTAGTTAAAAGAGCAAGAGGCTTCTAAAATTCAGGTTTATCTATGTCAAACCAGATCAGGATTACAAAATGATGAAGAGAATATAATAGGATGGGGTAGTTTTATTGGTAGATGTGGGGGATTAAGAATAAATATAAGAAACATTTCTTAAAAGAATAATAGAGGGTAAAAGGACTCGCATGAAGTAGAATACTTCCTCCCTTCTTTTTTATTTGACTTAGTTTGACTCTCAAACTATTTACATCCTCGTCTTTGACTGTCTTTTATGATTTATATGTAAGAATAAAATATAGTTATGTAGGATCTCGTTGGAATCGTCTCAATAAATATTACAACAATATCTAATTTTTATAATTTTTACTCATTGATAATTTCTCATAAAGATCTTGATAGATTATATGTTGGCAAGCGTAATAAATGAAACAGGACATGTAAAAAAGAACAAAGGAAATATAAGAGAGAGAGAGAGTTAGTGGAGGGTTTCAAATCACATGGGTTGTGTGGGTGAGCTTTCTATTTTGAGTAACTTGAATATTTTTGTGGAATATGTGAAGATTATTTATGGAATTGCCGGGGGAGTAGTTGTCTATGTAATATTCTCATCCAATATTATGTTAAGGAACATTCTCATCCAATATGATATCAAATTATATATGATCATCTGTCCACCCAATAATCACCTTGCTTACATGCTAATTAAGCAATTAATGACTTAGATGTTTTTTGATTAATAGGAACTTGAATAATCTGATTGTTATCCTATAGGCTGTGATAGACGTGAAGTGTTGGGCCGCAAGCATAGATTCTTAAGTGGCTCTGATACGGATCCATCCACCTTGTTGCAAGTATTTCCTCATAGGACCAGGTTTCTTTATTTTTAGTTTTGCTGCCTTTTGTTTATTGACGTATCAAACTATCAATCATTCAATCACGCCTTTCAGCTTGCACCCCCGCCCCCCAATCCTTGAAGTTGGAACTGAGTAGAATTACCGGTACCAATTTTTTGTGCAGATATATGAGTGCATTCAAAATGGCAAGCCATGCACAGCCCGAATCCTAGATTGTAGGTTAGTATTTTAATTAGTATAAAATTCTTGATAAACAGCTTCTCTAGATTTTTGAGACAGTAGGATAATCTTGTTGGCTGGTTTACTTTTCAGAAAAGACACGACTCCATTCTGGAATCTACTTCATTTATCACCTGTACGAAATGCTTCTGGAAAGGTAATTTAAAGCTTTGTAATTTATTTTTTTTCTTTTGTGTGGTAATCAAGTCAATGCCTTTTTCTTAAAAAAATTTATGAGATGGGCGATATACTGTTGCATTCACTTCAGCTGCATCTGGATGCATATCATGTATGAAACTTTCCCTTCTAATGTTATCAAATGCAGAACCATATTCATCTTCAATTCAAGGTCCTGAGATCATATTTATGGTCTTTGGAAGAAAAAGTTGGGAAGTTTTAAGCCCACTCTATAAAGCATGTTCTTGTTTTGGGAAGTTAGTTTACATGGGTGTGGGTTTTTCTTTTAGGTTGGCGTAGGTTATAGGAAGTGGCCTATGGACACTTCATGATATGTTGAATATCCTAGTAGCTGTCTGAGACTTCAATTTCTTTTATTTATTTTTTCATTCATCAACTAAAAGCTGATTGTTGATATATAAACCTTTCTTTGTGGGGCATTCAAGTCTTATTTGAATAATAGAATGTGTATTTCCGCTCTACGAAAAAAATAGTGCTTTCAGTTCCTTCAAGCTTCTCAATTGCTTGTAGAACACCTAGCTTTTACTGTGTTCTCTTGCAGATTATCACCCTTGACCTATGTGTCAATTATGCCAGCCACTTTGGTTTTAAGACCCTTTGGCCTACAGACTTGTCACTTGGTGTATAATACATGACTTGTCATTCAGTTATACGGAGCAATGCTTTGCAAAAGGTTGTTACCTGTTTATCTAATGTTTGTTTAGTACTCTATGTTACCGTGGTTCAAATGTTGCACCCTAACTACTACATCTTGTTAAGTACAAGGACTGCTTTTGGAGTCTTGCTCATCCAATTGAACTTGGGAATAGAAAATGTTATGGGATCTTAATATTGTGCTTAAATGATGCTGAAGGAATGAAAATTCTATGTGTTTTTTTCACTTGCATGCAACATTTTGCAGCTAGTCTACACCACGTTTGCTAGTTGAAGTGGCATATTGTTAATTTGTTGTAATCCTCTATCTTCCTTTGTTGCGATTAAAGGCTTTATTGTACATTGTCTCAATCTTTGCGGTTTTCACTCTTTTCAGGTAGCATACTTTGTCGAGGTTCATATGGAAGATTGTATAAATCAAGATGGACAAACATTGATCCCAAAATTGAGGCATCTTGGTGCTATAGCTGCAGTTAAAGTCACTGTAAGGAGTGCAACTATGGGTCTTGGTTCTTCTAGACGATAGGAGCGATCATCCTGCATTTTGGCACGCAATTTAGTGCTCAAAATTTTGCCTCTGCAATATTGTAGTCTAATGTATCTTAGTCGAATTCTCTGTAATATCCATCGACATTGCATTACAGGAATGCAGCCTAAGAGACACTACCATATTTTTGATTTATCCTTATGAATTGTACAAATATTATTTAATATAAGAATTGAGATTACAATATGCATACCACATATATAGTTTTACCTCTTATTATCGACTTTTGCTTTGTCTATTTATTCATTATAATTAAGGTGAACAGGGAAATTGCCTTCTAAATCTTGTTGAGGATAGGAAGGAGTTTAATTTAGACTGTTTAGATAGAGCTCTGTGGGTAGTACCGGAGTGTAGCTGCTAAGAAATGGAGTACTAGTACTAAAATTTTGCAGGAACTTAAGTGCTAATACTTGGTTACTAACCAACACTTAGAATTTGGAGAAGGTGAGATGATATACTATCTAAAGTAAGAAAATGATGACTGATGAGCTATTGAGCTATCTTCAATTAGTTCTAGATAGCACTAGACTACATAAGAGATAAGAGTGTGCTTGTTTCATCTCCTCTCAGTCTTACAAAATTGTTCTTCACTAGTTACGAAAAAAGTACTTCAATCCTATAAATTAGTACGCATTAATATTCATCTTGAGTAAGTTTGGGTTGCATCCATCACCATGTGAAGAGATATGACAATGAAATGAGAAGAGTAACTCATACCCTATGAATATACGTATTAAGGCATAAATTTGACCATTAATATATTTCATTCTCTATCTTTTATATAAAAAAATAATCTTTCATTCTCTATGAGCAAAAATAATATGATTTTGATATTATGGATATATACATTATGACTATTTTAGCAAAACTTTTAATAACATTTTGTTTTTCTATATAATAGTCTAAAATCAAGTCAAAGTTGATATGTGAATAATCTAAACTTTTAAAAGCTAAATTGAAGCACTTATTCAAATACCATTAACTCTCGATTTTCTTTTATCAATATGATACATTCACATGTTGTGTTTGATAAGATTATATTTAAACACAAGGTTCGCTACAAATACGCACGTACGGGCATTTATAGAGGCACAATCATAAGCACAAATGATGCATATGCTAATTGCATATGCTAGCAGATGTACATGCACCGCACAAAGGGAAAGGGAGGTGTTGGTGCAGAGTGCACAATTAACATAGTGCATTACTTATGTAAATGTAGTAAATGCATAATGTATATGTAGCTCCCATAGTAATACTACGCAACAAATTAAATTAGAGACATAAATACTATACATAGGCAAATAGCTACATCAATGTTAAGGTTATGTAACCCTTTATAGAGCAAGTTTTACGGTAGGTGTGATTAAGTTATGGCGGTACAAGACACTAAGACAGAGTGTGGTCAGTGTCTTTAAACTTCACCTACCAATCCCTTCTTGTTTCAATTCTGCAGCTAATTTACCTCTACCTATTTGTCAGACTTTCAGATGTTTTTTAATTTTTTAATTTCATGACTGCTTCTTCTTCTAGTTTTAGCTATGAAATTGAACCCCACTACTGGCATACTGCATTGGATTGTTCAATCACATTTACAACTATCCCAAGCTCCCTTTTCTTCAATGCCACTCTCTATTTGCTTCAACTGATAGTCAGTCCATCAATGTATTGTCGGAGACTTAGGGATTATTTACTTCACTTTGTTTTTGCCACCTAATCTCATTTGATATGTTTTGATCTGATGTGATCTAATTTTTTGATTTGAAGACTTTATGGGTACAATAATCTGTAAAGAAAAAATATTTCAAGTAAGGTTTGTTAGATTTGTAAGACCCTCTCCAATGGTGAGACTTGAGTGAGTTTTTTTTATAATAGAGGGGGTAGTTTTTGTAAAGGATATCAATAAGTTGGTATCTAAACTTAGCAACTGCAAAAGAAAGTTGCTAAGACCATCTCCAATGGTGAGACTCAAATTTGAGTATTGAAATACAAAATGAGTTATTTTTTTTACCTCAAATGGCCGGTTATACCATACTCACTTCTCAATTTAGCAACTCATGTGAAGCCTAATTTCCCAATGGTGACTTGTTCCTCGGGGCTTTGAGTTCGTTGAGGAACTTGAAGTTAGAGTCTTTAGTTTGTAATAGGATCATTTGCCCTATTCTAGTGGAGATTTTTTTCCTAAAATCCCAAGTGGTCGTGGCTTTTCTCCTTGTTAGGGCCAAAGATTTTTCCACGTCAAAATCTCTCTTTCAATTTTAGTTCCTTTAGCTTATCTTTATGTTCCTCTAGCTTACTTAGTTTTAATTCCGCAAAAATCTTGACTATTCTGTCATACTACAATTCAACCCCCCCCCTTCTTGTAGTACTCATTGAAACAACATAACCATCACTCCATTTGTCTCATAATTTAAAATACATTGCATACTCAAAATGTGTAAAAATTGTCAGCAATAATACGACCTTTTAGCGGTGTTCCAAAAATAAAAAGACTTTTTATCATTCTGTAATAAAACGACCTTTAACATACATCTGCTATAAATAGGATAGAAACCAGCAACTTATTTCATAAGTTAACTCGGACACTTGTCGCGTGGTGTTGGTTAAGATTTTTTTTATTTTAAAATTTTTCTGTTAATAATAATGAATTAATTAAATAAAACATAAACAAAACAAATAAAAACAAAATACTTTCCCCATCCCCCGTTCAACAACGTATCACTTCCCCCTCCCCAACCTCCTTCCTCAGTCATCCACCGGTGGTTAGCATTCCCCCGCCTCTACCCCGACTCCAATCCGACCCTTTCTTCTCTCCAAACAACCACCACCCTTATCTCCCCCACCTCGTGAAGGAGTTTTGTCTTCGATAAGTGCAATTATTAGATATATCAAGGATCACTATTATGGAGATAATAAGTTCGTTCTGTTGGGTCGTCATTATCTGTTGCTAGACTATGATCATTGATCTTTGGGCTAGTCAAATAGTCCAAAGTCCACTAGAATGGATCCTATGAGGTCACACAACAAAGGTATTGGGTTAAGCAAGTTAGAGGCCCACTGTGATCATACACTAAAGTACGATGGCGTCCAAAAGGGAAGAAGATAGAGCAAAAGAGTCGCCAACAAGTTTTTAAGGAACTTGTAAACCATCACGAGGTGAAGGTTACACCCCTTAACGATCCAAGAGATCGTCAACTCCATAAGGTCATGAACCAATTAAGGGTCCGGGGATGAAGGTACAAATCCAACCTAAAAGAGATTGAACCTGCCCTAATAATATGCCTCTACTTTATTCTGATCATATTCATGTGCACTTTCTGACTAACTTACAATCAATAGATTAACCCTAAACCTGTTTAATCTATGTTGGTTGAATTTAATGCACAAACAAACTATTATTGGCGATCACTTGAATGATGATCAAAGTTAACCTAACAAGATTATTAATTATCTTATTAAGCATGATTACAAGTACCAATTCCATTTAAACATGCATAAAAGGCGTGATCAAGCAATAAATATAAATAATGTATCAAGCAACATAATCAATAATAATCATGAAGAATAATAATAATCATATCATAATAATAATAATAATAATAATAATAATAATAATAATAATCATAAATAAAATAATCATCATCAAAATAATAATAAATTATAACAATTATAATCATAATCATGTTCATGTTAATATTAAAGCATAATAAAAATAGCAAGATCCTAGGCATGATACTAACAAGATTAATAACAAATCCTAGCATGTCACTAAGCAATAAAAATCAAATCTTTAACCCTAACATGATACTAGCAATCATAAATACTAGGAAGAGCATAGGAAGCATCACAACAATCATATTTAATATTAAAATTACCCTAGACATGATACTAGAAATATTATAATAACAATATAAACATGATTTCTACATCATAATATCAATTAAAACCATTAAAGCACTTACTTTGATGCCTCGTACCTCTTTCTAATAACAAAATACACACGTTAGTAACTTCAAGGAAAATAATAATCAAAACAATTAAATTAAATAATTGAAATAGAGATTTGGGACCAAACCCTCATAAATTAAACCTTTCACGCCTAGGGCGAAGGCAACTTCGAATATGGCTAGGTGTATCTAAGTCTTGTGAATGCGGAATTTTGTATTTGAGAAAAGGCTAGTTTAGAAAAAGAGAGAGAGAGAGAATAATCAAGAAAATCTTGATGAGAGTTGGTTATTGAAAAAGGGGGAGATATGACCTCTATTTATAGGAAAAAAGAGGGTCGAAGAATTAAGAAAAGAATCAAATTCGAATCGAAATAAAACTCGTAGACAGCAGTTTTTGCGGATTTTGTTTTTATCATATCTTTTGATCCAGGAATCGGAATAAGATGAATAAGATGTCGTTGGAAATATCTTGAAGTCTAATTTCTAACACAATTAGAATTAGATTAAAATATGTTGTAGAATAAAAGATATGAACGAAATAGTGAGACGGTGTCAGTTTTGGATAGAGTTTGATATCTTATTCATATCTTTTCCGTTATAGCTCGGAATTATTATTATAATATATCATTGGAAAGATAATTTCAAGATCTATCCAAAAATATAAAATTTGGATAAAAATATGAGGCACAAAAATAATATCTGACTGTCTTTGAACATGTTTAAATCCGAATAGAATTAGGACTTTAAAAAAGGAAAGTTTTATAAAAAAAAAAGGAAAGTTTATATTTAAATCAAATTCCTTAATCTTATCTTTTCAAAAAAGGATAATTAAGATATTTTAGAAACTTATAGAAGATTCTAATCAATCCTAATTAGTTTAGGAATAGGATTAAACCTTTGGACCCTCCTCATGATCATTGGGTCGTAGGCAAAATCCGGTTTGGGCCCAGTTTAGTATTTTGGCCATAACTTCCTCAGTATTCATCGGAATTGGGCTTATAATATATCGTTGGAAAGGTCTTTGCAAGCCCCATCCAACTATACCATTATTGGACTCTTATCATGGACCGAACTAAACAGGAATGGACGTTTTCATAAAATAGAGTGGGTTTTCGAAAACAGAAAGAAAGAATTTTAACAAAAACTAACCGCAACACTAGACTTTTCACATTTTCACCTCATTCGATTATGGTTCGACGTGAAAGGTATTCATCACTGGGTTTGGTTTTGGGGAGACACAAATGGGTGTCTACAGAAGCCCCCACTTTG